CCCTGAAACAGGGGGGAGAACCCGGCTGAGATTTCCCACAGATGAGGAATAAAGGAAAAAGCCGGCGCTGAAGAATCAGTGCCAGGTTCTGGTCTCCGTATTCCTGCTCTTTGCTGTTAGGGGCAGCCTCGAGTTTTACATCACTTCAGTGAAGGTGGAAAACGAATGTCCATTTCCTGTCACCAAAACTTACATCTCTGTGTTCCTTATTAATCTACTTTCTTACCTTAATTTTCATCTTTCTTTCTTCTCCCAATCCTGTTCTGCCCCGGAAAACTTCCAGTGCCCGTTTGTCACGCAGTTTATTTGCCGGTGGGATGGTAACCGGGCTGCGCTGATGCGCGTGGCCTCAGCTGAGACAGGATGAGAAGGCGCGCGGGCGCGCGTCCCACCACGATAAGTCACGTCGGTGTGTTCGGCACCCTGTGGTACCCGGCTGCGTCCCGTGACGCCGGGCTGGGAGAGGGACCTGCCTTCGCATTATTTTTCCTGCTGCCATTAACTTTGGTGATGTAGCGATTCGTGGTGAAGATAAGCCATAGAAAAATAAATCCTTTTCTTAATTAACAACTAAATGCTTATTTGGAAACAAACTTAGGCTAACCCTAAAGAGATACACCTGGAATTAAGATGTGTGAGGGAAGGAGAAATAAACAAGATCAGAAAAGCATTGCTGTGGACTCAGCTCACGCACTGTTTTGCAAAACTGGGGTGAAAAGTTTCTCCAAGTTAATCTGGACTTGAGTCCAGCACTAACCTGAGAGAGTATCTTCGTTATTCAAGCAGGAATATAACAGGTGTGTTTTACTTGCAAACCAACATTTTGTGAGCTGGTACTGTGTAGAATTTTGCAGCTGGGGAGAAAGCTACTAAAACTACGAAAAGCTCTGAAAAGAGCTTTTGTTTTAGGTATGAAGTTGTTGCATGCACCTTCACCTTATATCTAGCTGTCCTAGCAGAGTTAATGTAAGAAAAGACCTCTAGTTAAGTAGTAATTGGTCATCTTAGGCCATTATCCCACCCTCTTAATGCCCACGTTGTGGTGCAGCCGTCGGGTGCTGGGTGCACTTATGTAGTTACTCGCTTCCATGCCAGGGGATGCTCACAGAATCCAGAGCTAGTTTATGGATGAATTCTAAAAATGATTTAAAATTTTCTGTGTTTGACTTCTGAATAAGCATTAAATCTGTAGAAGAGCCCAACTAAGCTGTCTGAAGAAATGGCACTTGTCTGAGGCATCAGCTGAGGCGGCCGTGGCGCTCAGGGAACAGTCCCCTCTGGCATTCCCAGTTTCTGATCAGATACTGGCGTGTTGTGGAGCAGACCTCGCGCACTTCAAAGTGGCTGGCAGCAAACTATGTAATTGCTTCTCAGTCTCAGTACTACGCTATTTATAACCAGCACTAGTTCAGGCCACTGTTCTCTAAATGTATCATCTGGGATTTAGTGTGATTCTGCTGTTCGGGTGTTTTGTCTTTCGGGTTCTTATAAACACCCCACGCTGCCGAGTTCGTTGTTGTGGCGTGGGAACGCCTGTCCTGCAGATTGTTCAGAGATTATTTTATGAATAGGAAAAAATATGGCTAACTAGTAGTGATCCTTTAGAAGACATGTATTTTCCACGCTTAATATAAAACACGACACTAGCATAGTTTATATTTTAAATACTAGCATAGAGTAACTTAATTTTGACGAATTACTGAATAATCAGGAAATAATAAGGTAAATGTAAGGAATTTCCTATTACTTGACCAAATTCGTTCCATGGATGGCTGTAAGAAAAAAAAAGTGTGAATGATGAAAAAAATTACACTGCATAAGGAAATCAACATGTTTATAAGTTCCTAGGACCCTAACCTCACTTTTAACTTACCAACAGCTCTACATCTCTGAGGAGATCTAATAAAATTCTTTTCTCTAATTTGATCAGCAAAATAGTTGCATTCTGCCCGCAAAGCAAGCTGATTTTTATGATGTTAGTGATCATTTATGGTCTAGTTTTCTGGATGTGCTCAGTTGCTGTGCTGTTCTCAATATACATTTTGAATTCCTGCTAAATAATTTGAAATATTCTGTTTTTGTAGCCCAACTGGATCGCATGTGGAATGGTGTAAACAGCTGATTGCTGCAACCATTTCTAGTCAGATTTCAGGGCCTGTCCCGTCGGAAGGTGTGTCCAGAGACTACAGGGTAAGTGACTTGAGGAATGCGTTGGTGAGTTTAAGATAAAAGAGTAAATGCTGAGGAAGGTCCTTGCTACCTTGATTATCAGGTGGTAAGTACTTCAGTGATCGCTAAATGTTTCAGAACTAGAAACATCTTGTTATGCATAAGAGTCTTTTCAATCTGCTGTGTGTTTTCCTCCATATTTAGAATAGTGGTATTGAAGTCTACAGAATAAAAATTGAGAAAGGTGAAAGGAAAATTAAAAGTCAATGTTTTGAATTAAATGCCAAAAGTGAGTTGTCTTTTCTTTTGATTACTACATGAAAATTTTTTTCTTAAAGTGGATTAATAGTTACAGTTTGAAATTGTTTCTAGTGTGTGTCTTTCAGAGGACAGAACTGAGCTCTCCAGATTTCACAAAAATTAAATACATATGTCTTTGTTACAGTGCAAAGAACAGATCTAACTATCGTTTTTCATGAGGTTTCACCAGAGGCAGAGAAAGTAACATCAGAGAAACAAACAAACAAAATCTCCTTTTTCATTCCCTCCCAGCAACATTTTTGCCACTAAGGTAATCATTGCACCGTGTGGGTTACCCAATAGGTTCCATTATGCTTTTTTACCCCTGTTCTTTCATGCTCATTTGCTGTTCCCTGTATGCAGCTGGCCAACGAAACTGTCAAGAGTGGCGCGTATGCAGTTTTCCTTCTCTTACAAACTGACACGAGTCACCTGTGTTTCAAGTCCCTTTAAGAAACCCAGGCTGCTACTGTCTAGATCCTTTTTCTGCCTGGATTTGAAATAGTTTCATGGTCTTCATGCAAAACGGCCAAGTGAAGATTTTGTCTGGTTTTGTTCGTAACGAGATTTTAAATTATTTTCTAGTATGGTCTGTGATTAAAAAGTTTGTTGTCCGGAAGCATCGTATTTTAGATTATGTGACAGCCAGTCAGATTCAGCCCAGGCCTGAAGATGAATCCACAAAATGTTTTTGGCCGTAGTCTACTTAAAAATTCACCTCACATTTTCACACTCTTGGCGCAGTCAGCAGCTTACACACGTAAAAAAGTGTAGCTCTTCCATACAATGGCAGCTGAATTGCAAATGCTTCCTTCAGGTCAAGGCTGGCTGACATCTTTGATAAAACATTGTGGGAGACCTTGCATTACAGCTGTCGATGTTGTGTTTGCCCTGTAGATCAAGGACTTCATTTTAGTAAAATCCAAGTGTGTAAGCTTGTTGTTCAGTTTATCTCTGAGTTAACACGCGTTCCTCTGGAATAAAGAGCACTTTCTAATTCTAAATAACCTCCTTCTCTATACCAAACTCATCTTGGGTGTTATTTAACAGGAGTAAGTCTTTTAAGACCTAAGTAAAGTTCTAGTTCATTCTCCGTTTCTTAGAAATGAAAGAAAAAAATTTAAGCGTGGTGGTATTCAGAATTTTTGTGTATAAATTGTATTTGGGATCACATGGTGATGTGAAATCCCATATTTGTGCATAACATCATGGAATTTTTATCCTAGAATATCTTTAGTTACGTCCAGGACCAGTATCTTGTGGTGTCCTTGCTTTAGGGGAGGGTTTCCTTTGCACGTAGCTTCTGCAGAAGTTCAGTGGTATGACTGGTTGCTTTGTCACTACCACTAGCCAGTTGGGTTTGTCACTACCACTAGCCAGTTATCACTACGGAATTCACATCTACAACGGTAATGCCCATTTATAACTCAGTTAACTGCCTTTGAGACATCTTTCCCTTTTGATGCACACTGATCAGTTTTCTGGGTCTTCATTACCTTTGGTTACGTCGAATTGCTGCATTTAGAGACTATCTTACAACAACTCAGAAGCTTCAGGTAGGGCCAGATGCATGTGCTTCTGGAACTGGTCAGGCAGTTCTGTTGCTTTCTGCTGGATTTACCAGGAACCTACTGCTTTATTCTTTCTTTCATTCTTTTTTTTAATGTTTCAATCAATATGTTTGCAAAAACAGGTAAATATATTGATTCTTTTATCTGATGGTGTTGCTCATGTTACTCTGTGTAACTTGCCTTACCAGCATGTATTTTAGGGAAGGGAGGGAGGAATCAAGCGAAAGCAAAGGGGCTGCACATGAAATCATCAGCTGGAGAGCACTGAGCGAGCTCTTGCTTGCTGAACCCTACAGCAACACCATCCCTCTCTGAGACTGAACTCTGCTGCGTATGTCTGCTCTGACATGCCCTCTGCCCGGAGAGTATTCTTGAGTGAGGGGTTCGTATAAATGAACATTGTGTAGATGATAGTAGCTGAATATAGACACCTTCAGAAGTAAGTTGAGAGGAGTTGTCACTATCCTTGTTTTGCCATTTGAATCTAAAAGATATGGCGGTTATACTTCATGGCTGTTATTGCAGGCTTACTGTCTCTTCCACCTAGACGGATTATCAGGCTCTTTCTGCTCTTCTCACAGTAGCACATTGTGACTGGATAAAGGGGTGGTGAGGAATGAATGCTTTGAAAGAGCTTGGCATTTGTTACATTGCTAAAATGAAGTGGCTAGCTGGTTTTTAGACCAAAATGATTCTGCAAATGAGAGCTACTAGATCTGCGTAATTTTGTTTTGTTCTTTCAAAATCTGGCTATAATTAAAATGTTTGGAAGTAGAGTTCTGAAAAATCTGACGAAGTAAGATATAATCTCTTTAACAAATCAAATCTGTGCGGTTTGTTGGATAACATTTTGTATTTTAACTAACAGGTGTACAGGAGGCCTGTTATACGGGTAAGATTACCTTTGGCTAGCAGTGAAACAGCCTCCTACTTGTTTGTCTTTTGTGCTGTGTGAGATCTTGGTGTGTCAAGCATTCTTCTTTACTTCATTAATGGTTTTTATGAACCAGTCAGACCATTTTGCTATGCAGCGCAACAGCTTCTTTGCCATAGAAGTGCTTTATGTACATTACAATATTTTTGTAAGCAGTAAAGTCAATGTGTAAGAGAGCAGTATTTTTAAATTATGTTATGTGTGTGCAGTACTAACTTCAGTTTTGTTAAGTTAATTTTGACAAAATGGATGCTTGCAACTGAGGCTTACATGCTTCGGACTACAGAGTACTGTATTAGCAGCTCTAACGTGTTATCTGTGCTAAAGGATGTTGGTGATAAAAGCATTACTTCTTGTCTATCCTAATTAAATAAGATACCAATTCATGCTTGCCTTTGTACGTGTTTTACCTTAATTGTTACCACCCTGTAGTAGGATTGAAGGTTAGGGCTGAAGTTAGACACTGTGTAGTGACCTGCGTCTCTTTAATGATAATTTTGAGACTAGTTCTTGCCGGTTGTTCATTGGAGACATAAAAAGGGCATGCCTTGTTTTCTTGTCCCTCTCAGTAACATTTATGGAGTGAGAAATGATGTGGATAGTGTTCTGACATTGTTGATGAAATGTGTCTAATGCTTTTATTCAAACAAAGACCTCTTGTTGAGTCTCAGACCAAGAGATGAAGTCTGAATGATCTCTTTTTCTCATCTGTTGTTTACATATGTGAAAATGATGTGTTTAGTCCAATCATACAAATCCAAATCCACAAGTTGATTTTTTTTTTTTTTTTTTTTTTTTTGATAGCTCTTGAAATAATTGGTCTGGGTTGAGTAACAAAAATTGGTTGTTTTCATTCAGTTTTTCATAGTTCTTTGTAAAGGCTTTGATCTTTGAATGATCTGCTGTGCTTCTCTCTCTTTCATTTATTTAAAATCTTGGTGTATTTGCTGATTGTTCTTCTGGTTTTCTTCCAGAGATCACAATATCTACTTTGCTTCATTTCAGAAACAACATTTTTGTGGTCTGAAATTTAAATAATTTCCATTTAACAGAGTTCCACCAATACATAAAAGTTAGGAGTCCTTTATAATTTGAAAGGGGTTTTTAATTAACTATAACTTTTTAAATTCATATAGGGTTCAAATTATCTGAAGATATCTGAAGTCCTTCTAAGTTTTTCTTTTTTGAGGGTTCTGTAGAAACACTATAAAAAGAAAAATTTACTTTAGCAAACGTTTGTAAATTTAGACTGAGGCTGGTTTAGCAGTCTATCAAGTGAGAAGTTCTTTGCATGTGAACTGGGAAGAATAGACTGTCATGAACACAACTTCTCTGCAGTTAATGAAGAAGACGGAAGAACAATTCTGGCTGAACGTATTAAAACAATAACTTCATGTGACCCTGTGACATTGAATGTATTAAAACAATTACTTCATGTGACCCTGTGACATTTGTGCTTCTGTCTGGAGTGCGTAGGGACCTTATGTTTATTAAAGACATTTAGTTAATATTCAGGATTTGCTGCCAATATGATGCAAAAATAAATTACGTAAAAATGTGATCTGTTTGCCAATTTGGCTCTGAGGAGTAATTTTAATGTTCTGTAAAGGTACTGACTAAGTTTCCAGCAACAGCACAGAAGTTGCTGGAAAAATATGTGAAACCATAAAACTGAAAGTCCAGTTAAAATGTGGTTTACACAGTAAAGCATTTTCTAGATTGTCTAGATACTTCTATTTGATGTCGACCTATTTTTTCCTTGAAAGATTGCATGAATTTTCCCGTAATGCTGCCATTGCAAGCTGTACTCAGTTTCTTCTGTTGATAAGCATGTGGCATACTTTGAATGAATTTTCTTCACTAGAAGGTTGTTTGTCTTAAAAAGACAGTACATACTTTTATGTTCTTATCTACCAGCACTGACTCTTTTGTGAGAAAGGGAGTAAATTTTTCATTCTGCGTTGTGCCAAAGAACATTAAAAGGAAAGCACTAATGGCTTGGATTCCTTTTTATAGAAAGTAGTTTGTGCCAGAAGTGGAAGATTTTGAGTAGCTAACCTGGAGTTAAAGTATATGCTGTCTTTTTAAGGAGAGGGAAACAAGAAAAGATTCTGTCCTTTCACCTGTTGTCTGCATGTTTTTTCCTGTTACCTCTCTCTTGCCCTACTACTGCCTCGTGCAATGCAGGAGATTCAGGATGGACACAATGGCTATCATTCTGAAGCAGAACCTGAGCAGGTGGCAAGTTTACTCATCTTTCATTCATTAATTGTGTAGCAAGGTACTATATATTGGTACTCATACAGTAGGTACAAATCTTGTATTTCTAGTGCAAGAGAATCCATAGAAGTCATTTAGTGTGTCAGCTGGTTGTGTGCTAGGTAGGGTTTTCGTGTATGCCATGTACTCTAAAATGTAATACTGCACGTGAGCCCTTGTTTGGCAGAGCGCATCCGTCCTTCGAAGTTTGTAAGTATTGGCTAATTCTCTACACATCATCTTTTGTGGTTGGGCGCTGAATGTAAAATTCAGTTAGTTTCCAAGAAAATCTAAAGCCAGTGATCAATTTAAATATCTTTGGAAATTACTTATTTGTGAGGGCTTGGGGTAGTTTGTTTGGAGGTAGACAGATCCTAGCAATTATTTGTGTGTGGAACAGAGCTGTAATACAGGGGAAGAGTTGTTTACTGTAACGTAGCCCGTTATGTTTATTCTCACTTTAGGATGTAAAAAACTGAAACCTTATTATCTCATGATGTTGACCTGATAGAGATCACTTTCTCACATGGTCCTTAAAAGTCCTGCAAACCCTTTTATTCTTAATTAAAATTTTTAGTAGGTTGTAAGTCTTAGCCGCCAACAATGGACCCAAAAGATCAACCTTGTATCACTCAGGAATGAAGCCATTTACCTAGATGAAAATTTATGGAACTAGTCCTTACCTTAAAATTGCTAATTGTTCTTCTGTATTTCTTTACTACTTTATTCTTAATCTGAACTTCTGGATCCGAAATTCCTGTAATGGACCTCTTCCATAACCTATGGCACTCTCAGTAGGGTATTGATTGAAATACAGCATTATGGGGTGCTTCTGACTTTTTGCTGTCAAAAATACAAAGTTAAAATGTTAAATAAATAAAGCCTCTGCCATATAATTCTCTCCGATGAAAATACTCAAGTATTAAATAAACAGCATTAAGAACAGAAAAAAATTTGATCTTTAAAATGTTCTCAAGTAGACAAAATACCTCAAATAATACCTGCATTTAGCAAAATACTAACAAATCATTAATTGCAGTGCGGGCTGATGTTATTGTTCATATTTTTGTATGCTGTATGTAGCTAGCATGTAAAACTAATTGTTGCAGAAATGCTTTATTACTAATATGTTACTAACATGTATGTTTGTGTAAGATTTATAATACTGAGTTGTGTGTTTGGTGGTTTTTTTACTATGGTACTGTTTAATACAGTTGTGCCTTGTAAAAAAAGATACACTACTTGTGTTTCAGTAATCTGGTAGTAAAAGCAGTTTGCATCAAAGTGTATCGATGTGGTACAGATGGAAAGTGAGATTTACTCATGGTTTTGGATTTCTGCCAGGCACTGCGGGATGGAAACAAACTGGCGCAGATGGAAGAGGCTCCACTTTTTCCTGGAGAATCAATCAAAGTTATTGGTAAGCATACTATTGAGTACCACGCTGAATACTATTTTATTATGTTTATTTATTTAAAAACAGAATATTATTTATTTATTTAAAAACAGAATATTATTTCCTTTTGACTTTTGTTATTTTAATTTAATGCCACTTTAAATTAGCTGATTTGATATGGATTTCTTTTCTTTGTATTTTAAATCCAAATGTAAGAAGGAGAAATTGGTTCCAGAGGATGGCTTGCTCCATATAGATAAATGATTTTTTTTCAAGGGTTAGTTTGTTCGATATAGGTGTATGGGTTGCATTTCTGCTTGCGGATGCCAAGGATACGTCGTAGAATCAAAAGCTTCAAAACTGTGATAGCAAAGAAGATGAAGTTATGGAAAGCTTAGTTTCCAGTTCTTAATGAGATTTATTTCACTTTGGCCTGTGATGACAAGCTCTGTGTTAGCAGTACAGAACTTGGCTGGAAAGGAATAGTAGCTCTTTCAAATAAAAGTGAAAATTACGATATGGGCATATAACTGAATTATTTGGAGGTCAGTTGCGTACACATCAGTAATTGCCCGTTTGGGCGCTCTCTCTGAGGTGAGTGTGGGTGCTTTACACCTCAGGGCAGGGACCAGAGCCACCTGCAGCCAAGAATACCAGCAGGGTGCTGCACTTTGTTACCTGCCTGCATTCACTGCAGCCCTCGCTAGCTGAGCCCAGCCCCGTTGCTCAGCAGTTGCTGAGCAGCAGTGGGACTGAGGAATTGGGTTGTTTTCATTGTTGAGATAAAGACAGCTCTTTCAGTCCCGCCAGCATCTGAAGGGTGGGCTTTCCTCTAGAGGTCAAGCATCACAATCTTACGGAATTGCAAAAATCTTGCTGTTTTTAAATGGAAATAGATTTTTATGGAAGAAATGTCTACAATAGTAAAACAAAGCTTTAATTGGTCTGTTTTCCAGCTAAAGATGTTATGTATATCTGTCCATTTATGGGAGCAGTCAGTGGTACGCTAACAGTGACGGACTTCAGAATGTATATCAAAAGTGTTGAAAGGGTAAGACTTCGCGATCTGTCTGCATGTTGTTTCAGGTAGGAATGTTGCTGAAGGTGGTTTCAGAAGGTGACAAATTCGGTGTAAGTGAAGTATGATGTTCCACAGCAATGTATTAAGCAGGAATTGTAGTTTACTCTCATGAAACACACATGAATAATACTAGTTTGTGTTCCTCCTCTTGTAACAAAATTCATTTGTTTTACGTACAAATTTCAGGATCCACCTTTTGTTGTTGATGTTCCCCTTGGAGTCATAAGCAGAGTTGAAAAAATTGGAGTACAGAGCCATGGAGACAACTCATGTGGTATAGAAATAGTTTGCAAGGTATGGCATGGTAGAGATATATTCATATTAAAGTATTTTCGTTTTGTTTTTCCGTAAGAGGAATCTGCATGCACATGTGCTGTTTTTCTGTCTGATCAGTTCCCTGTATTTGAGCCCTGCTTCATTTAGGTAATAGATTTCAATTCCTCTTAGGATACTTGCAGTCTTAAACACTTCTGCCTTTTGTCTCAAGAGTGAATTCAGAGGGAAAATGGCTATTTTTATGATATCTAGAAACTCTCAAGACGATCCTAGTCAACTGATATGAACACTTACAGAGCTCTGTTCTAATGTGGGTTAGATGATGTCAGTGACTTAGAGCTACATACATGCCTTCCTTCCATCCAGTTTCTTATAACTGCTTCTTTTTTTTAATTCATCGTAGGGTAAAATAGTGTAACTTATTTTTGACAGGATATGAGAAATTTGCGGCTGGCCTACAAACAGGAAGAACAGAACAGATTGGAGATTTTTGAAAACCTTGTGACACGTGCGTTTCCTGTTTCTAATGGGCTGGTAAGTCAGAAGATGTAGAGAAGGCTGTCACTGGCTCTCCTTGTTTTGGAAAGTGTAGGTGGGGAAATGCAAGGGCTGTGTAACAAACATTGAGATGTTGATTCGTAAAATCTGTTACAGCGCGGGCAAGCTATTCTCACCCTGTTTTCTTTCTGCATTAATTCATAAAACATCGTGCTGTGTCCTGCCATCGGTGAAGTTAATTAATTTGTACATAACCCTTGAGATCTAGATTTGCCTAATGTTGCTAATTAAAAATATGTATGTATTGACCCTTATTTTCTGCAGTAGATCATTCAGTCTAGAAGTTCTGTCTGAAACAACAAATAGGTAAAATTAGTCTTATTATTAGTTAGCTGCAGAATGCTATTTCATTGGCATGTTTGGATAAGGAACTGATTGGGAGGCAGGAGACCAATTTCCTCATCCTGGCTTTGCCATTGATGTGTTGTATGATCGCAGGCAAGTAACTTCAGTTCTCTCTGACTGTTTCCTCTCTTGTTCTTGTTAATTACCTAGCATATACTTGAAGGAGGAAACTTAATTTTCATTTTCTTTCTAGCACAGTGTTGTCCAGTCTTAACTGAGTGTTTTATGTTTGGTGTTAAAGAGTTTTAGAAGTGTTACATTTGAAATACTAGAAGGTTCACTGTTTTGGAGCTTAATATGCATACAGCCTATTAGGCTAATTTATGCCTTTCCTGTGTTGTCTTTAGCCTCTTTTTGCATTCAGCTATAAAGAAAAGTTTGCTATTAATGGCTGGAAAGTGTATGACCCAATGGCAGAATATAAGAGGCAGGTAAGTACTTGGTGTATTGTTTTTTTCCATCTCCCCCAAAGCCACTTAAACTAGAAAAATGTATTGTAGAAAACTAACAATTTTTAGCTCTGGCTACATGCTGAGACTGTCTAGATCTCATGTTTAGATAATAAAATGCAAGTGGCCTGACACTGAGAGTGTTGAGCGCCTGCTAAAGTTGATGGAGACAACATGAGTACTTGAGCAAACTGGTCTATCTTAACAGATGTTCTTAATTCCGCATTTTCCAAGTGCTGTTCCTAGAAACTATAGGCTTTGCAAAAAGTTTCGTTTTGAATAAGCAGCATTAAATGGAAGAGTAACCATAGTTTGTCATCGTAAATCTACAGTTTCCTAGTTGCAAAAGTGTTTTTATTTCACTATATGATCACTTTTTACCCGAGTGTGCAACCTATTCAAATGGTTATTTTGCATATCAGGTTTAAAGATGACAAATACGAAGGACTCTCAGTGTTTTGGTTTATGGTTCAGTATGAAGACCTAAAGTTTTTAGCTTATCTAAAATAATAATGTGGGTACACTTCTTTAAAAAAAAGTACATAACAGACAGAAATTTTCCTCGCCCCAAACTCGGGTATCTAAAGGTCTAACCTGAAAGCCACACAAATGTTTTGCTTTCATACAGGGCTTGCCCAATGAGAGTTGGAAAATATCCAAAATTAACAGCACCTATGAGCTTTGTGATACATACCCTGCTGTTCTTGTTGTGCCAACCAGCGTAAAGGATGATGACCTCTCAAAAGTGGCAGCATTTAGAGCAAAAGGCAGAGTTCCAGTAAGTGAAACTTTTGCAAGGAGATATAAGTGCTCTATAAATTAGGAACTTGTAAGAAATTATTGGAGTTGGGGGGGGGGGGGGAAAAAAAAAAAAATTAAGCTAGAAGAATTAAGCTTGATGGGTTTAGAACTGAAGAGAGCAACACAAATGTGAGTTAGTTGTTTGGTTATTGTGCTGTGTCATGAATTTTTGTTTGGAGTTAACACTTCTAAGCCCCAGTGGTATCTGATGCTAATTCACATTAGCTTGTGTTCTGATGTGGTGTGGAATGTGTTACAGCTATATTGCGTTTCTTGAGAATAGACAAGCCTTGCAGGTAGCAGAAGAACCCACTGAAGTGTGTCAGATGGAGGCAGTTTTTATGCTGTAGATGTGCTTAGCAAGTAGTGTACAGGTCCACAGACTTCTACATGGAAATAGTTTTTCTTCCTCCATTGTTCTTTTTTTTCTAATTAGTAAGATGCAATAGCAGGTTTAGTTTTTATTAAAAATAAAAGCTAAGATGTTCAGAATCACTTTGTATTTCAAGCTCTGTTTTGGGATGAGCAGTGCTAGTGTGCTGTCAATATGGGTTTGCATCAGCTTGTCCTTAAATTTGCATTTGTTGATTTGCCAGGAAATACTGCCATGTAGGCAGTGTGATTGTGTAATTGCATTCTGGCCTGCTGCTTTTATAGCAGTATAGTAAGCTAAAATAATTTTCTTTTATTCCAGGTGTTATCCTGGATTCATCCTGAGAGCCAAGCAACAATAACACGATGCAGTCAGCCATCAGTAGGCCCAAATGATAAGCGTTGCAAAGAAGATGAAAAATACTTGCAGACAATAATGGATGCCAATGCTCAGTCACATAAACTTATCATCTTTGATGCCAGACAGAATAGTGTTGCAGATACAAACAAGGTAGGTTGGTGTCATAACTAGCATTAGTAGTTTTGTCTTTCTTACAAGGCTGAAGATTGAGTAAGAGATGAGGATGAGGAGAGCTTGATGCTGATAAGAAATAAACAAGGGTCTCTAAAGAGGGCATGGGAAGGAAGGTAAGTTGCTTGTAGCGTTTTGGAAAGGCCGGCAGGAATTGAAAGCAGCATGAAGACGCAGCCGAGAAATGATGCAGTAAAGCCCACAGAAGACCAAAAGTTTCGGTAGCAAAAAGGGGAAGGTATATGGATGTATTATCAAATGTAGCCTGTTACAACTAGAATTTCTTTCACCTAAAAAAAATACCCTAGTGCTTCTTAGAAAAACAAAAGCCAAAAAAGTATGTTATTATTAGTGCTAAAATAATCCTTTCTTTCTGAAAATCCTGAAACCTGACCAAAATAACTCTTTCAGCCTTCTACCGAAGTCCTGTACATGCTCTTTTCTTCATCTGTTTTTACTTTTTGAATGACAGGCAAAAGGTGGAGGATATGAAAGTGAAAGTGCCTACCCAAATGCGGAGCTGGTCTTTCTGGAAATTCATAATATACACGTAATGAGAGAATCCCTGCGTAAACTTAAAGAAATAGTTTATCCTACTATTGATGAGACTCGGTGGTTATCAAATGTGGACTCCACACACTGGCTGGAATATATAAGGGTAAAATATTTTTTATGTGAAAAATCAATTGTTTTTTTAAACTATGTTTTTAACTTACATTTCTGAAAATATTATTAAAATAGTGTCTAGATTTAAGCACGTTGCTTTGATCAGGGTAATCTTGTAAAAAAGCTTTGTTTTTAAATGGCCATTAGAACACAGCATTTTAAGCATTCCACAACAACTTTGTATTACCAGTTTTATGTATTGGTAGATAATGAGTTAATTCCTCATAGCACAGTGTCGTGTTTAGTGTTGGGCAGTGTTTTATTTTGTTGAGAGGGAATGCTTGTGAGCAGTCCAGGGTTATCCCTGCTTTTTGGAAGAATGCCCTGGGAACTTCAGATTGCATTTGAACAACTGCCAGAAAGACCTGACTGTAAATTCTGCAGTCTTTCTCATCCTTCCCTCCTTCAATTCAATGTTAGTGTTCATGTGTCGAGCACCTACATTTTCATGGGCTGTTTATAGTCAGTGCTCTACCGGGTTATAATCTGCTCTATTATTTAACATAATATTAAAATAAATCACTACCACTCAGTTTTACAGTCTGTTTCACTAACCTCTGAAATGCTTTCAGAATAGATTATGTCATTACCACATTCACTCCTCTATTCATGATAAATATGGATGGAGTGGAATTTGTTTTATTATCAACCAGCTCAAATGTCACTCAGGCAAAACATGCCTGGGATTGTTCATTAGTTTTACTCTTCCATTAACTTGTGCTTGCTGACTGCTGCAGGAGAACCAGTAGAGGGAGCAAACACTTAAATTAAGAATTAAACAAATTTAATGATCTTTTGGAAACAGTTTAATTTTCTTGTTCTCGTGAAGTTGGACTATTTCAAACAAATTTGGGAATCTGAGTAGCTGGCAAGCTTTTCTTGTCAGCCTGGCCTTAAATACAATACTCTATTTTTAAAAGTAGAGTTGTTTGGGCTAGTGGTCACCCTTCATTGACATTGACTTCAGTGGGGTTCCCGGGCTTAGACGGTGTCAGAAGTGGACTTTGGTACCACTGTTGCGCAGATGACACTAGCATACCAATTTGAAATTTCATTTGAATTATTTTGAAGAGTTGACACACTTGTAACATTCTTCATGAGTCTGTCCCTTACATGGTGCTTCACGTTACGGTATTGACAGCACAAACTGCAGTCTGATTTCTTAAAAGCTGCCAGTACTGTGTTAACGGTGTTGGTAAAAGCACAGGGAGATATCATCCGAGAATTGCCTGCCTTCCTTGCCTATTAGATTTGGCTTGTAATAGCAATTAACAAATCCACAGCTTTACTCTAATGCATCTTCTGTTTTCTGGGCTCAGACCAGTTTGATTGTGTCCCAGTTTAATACGATGCATTACTGGAAATTCACCTCCCTAGCACTGGGCACCCACAGCACCTTGAAGATGATCCAGGAGTATCTGGGGAGGCACCAGTAATGTTCTGTGTGTGTGAAGGCCGTAGGAGCAACGGGAGTAGAGTCACTTGGTGCTGTCTCCACACTCAGGATATTTCCTTGTGCCCTCCAGGGTATTTTCTGTCTTTCAGGGTAGAACTTGTGCTATTAATTATTTTTAAACCAATTCTATTTTTCTAAACCCATCCAAAGCCAGTTATTCGTTAGGAGCTGTAACTGAACTACTGTGATGGTTGTTAAATTTTGAAACATCTGTAAAGAAATAATAATAGTAGTTTGTGGAGGAAGCTGTTTTCTAAAGGCTTTTGTCCGAAGTAGAGTAAAATGCTTCACCGACTCCACTGGTATTTACTGAATTAATAGTATCTGTGTTTCCTGTCTCCCATTCTCTGCTTATTGCCTGCACCTGTTCTACCCTTGTATTTTCAGCTGTGCTCCTTCAGAGGCAGCTGTGTTCTCTTTAGGACAATTTAGAGCAAGCTATTGCATACCTGTATGTTACATAGATTAGTTTTCTGCTTTTATTGAAGACCAAACTATTTTAATATTTGCACTTTTTTAGTGCAGTAGAGCTTTGTAACTGAAGTAATTGGCAATTAACTAGTTCAGACCACAAACTCTGCTCTCCCATAGAAGCTTTTGTATTGCTTCGTGATATTTCCGTCCTGGCATCCTTCAGTTTTACCGTAAAACATACAATCAGTGAAGGATATAATCAATGAAAATTGTCTCTGAAGTATGATTCTTGAAACAGCTTTCAAGACGGGTCTTGTGCAGAGCTTCTCCAGTGGATACTGGCTTTCCTACTTCCCAGAAGACGTTTTACATGCCTGGGAAGGGAAAAATGCAAGTATTTTGCAAGATTCCATTTTCTGATGTGGGAATGCAGAATAGGAATTTCTCCTGTGGTTCTAGTCTAGTGGCTGTTTTTTTTCACATATGCTTCCGTGCCGTGACAGGTCGTGTTACAGAGACAAATCTTCACAGGAGAGAGATTATTCGAATTTGTAAAGAACCGCAGAGTAGTGTAAGAGAACAAGAGGAGTTTTTTGTGGGGGAGAAGAATAACAAGTTTGCACAGGTGATCTAACTCCGGTGCCATCTCTGTCCTTTGGTCTCCAGCACGCTTCTGAATCCCACGCTATTGATGGTCTGCTCGTGGGCTGAATACAATGTATGCTTCATGCATCAACAGATCAGCACAGGCTCCCAGCCAGGGGTTTCTGGGTTTGTTTGGGTTGTGTTTCGGTTTAGATTAGCTGGGTGGTTTGTCCCTTTCTCTGAACTTAGTAGAAATTTAGAGGACTGAAAGCTGAGGAAGAAGGAGTCACTGATTACTGTGAAAATTAACTTTTGGAAGATTGAACCTTCAGCCTTTGGAATAGGTTACGGTATTTCTGTCTTTTCATCATAATACAGAATTTCAGATTTAATTTAAAGAAGGGATTCCTAGGTTCTTTTGCTATCTGCTGCTAATAGTGGAGAGCTGGTAAGAACTGTCTCCTGGACAACAGAGTGCACGCAGTTTTTATACCTCTAAGAGTATGTATACCACCATTTGGAAATCTCTAATTTAAAGCAATGTCATCCAGATGATTATGTAATTAATCTGAAATTTTAAAATATATTAACCTTAAGAGTATAAAATTAGAACTCTTTATTTGTGGTAGAGTTTTGGTAAGTATTTACATATTTGTTTGTTTTTGTTTATTTAAGATGCTTCTTGCCGGAGCAGTAAGAATTGCGGACAGAATTGAATCTGGTAAAACATCCGTAGTGGTACATTGCAGTGATGGCTGGGATCGAACTGCACAGCTTACCGCACTAGCTATGCTTATGCTGGACAGCTATTACAGAACTATCAAGGGGTTTGAAGTTCTTATAGAGAAAGAATGGATAAGTTTTGGACACCGATTTGCAATGGTAAGCTGAAACATAGTGAGCGGTTTGTCACCTTCACGGCTTTTATTTGGAATGGCATGTTTTCTCACAGTATTCCGCTGCATTTCAGCTATTATCTTTGGTGTGCTTCTTTTAATGGTGTGAGTGTGTTAGAGAATTGTGACCTGTTCATTTTTAACAAGAAATCTGTGTGTGAGATATAATATAAAGTAAATAAGAATTAGGTGGCTTGAGCATGATGGTTAACAAAAAAAACACATGGCTTTTTTACAAGGAAGAGGGATTGTAACACATTGCTGCATCTTTAACAGTCTTATGAATGGAGAAACAAGAAAAACAATTAAGGTGTCTAGAAGGTAAAATTGCTGGAACCATTACTCTGATTTAAGGTTGAAGTATTTATTTAACACATGGGCTAGTGGGAAATTAGGGCATAAATTATTATGACATTTTGTGTGTTCTGACTCTAAGAAGGTTTAGGATAAATGACATGTAGTTATGGCAGGTGGATTTGGAATAATCATTGTTTCAGTACAGCCTTAGTAAATACCTACCAGTTTGACCCACTGGTAGAAATAAATGGCTGTGCAGTGAAAGACAGGGAAACAGCTGGCACAGCTCTGTTGGCCAAGTGTCTTTCCAGCTTTGCTCAACAGCAAAGGCATGTCCATGAGTGAATATTGGGATGCATTTTTAGTAGGTTACAGGTTAGCATTATGGAAGATTTGCTTGTCTTGTTCACTATTGGAACATATTTAAGAGTTACTCAGCTTTAAAGTGATGGAATGGTGCTGTAAATACACCAGACTGAAATGACAAGTTTGTTCTGACTTTCAGCGAGTAGGACATGGAGATGATGATCATGCTGATGCCGACAGATCTCCCATTTTCCTTCAGTTCATTGACTGTGTTTGGCAAATGACAAAGCAGGTAAGATGCTTAAGAGTATATTTCGATGAGGTCTCAGTCTTTGTCTTGGAAACATCATTCATGTAGGAGAACACATTCCTTGCAGAGCAGTAGCATGTTTTCCTGAAGTTGGTTTCACTATGGTTGCACTGTGCACATTCAGGGAAATTTTTTGCTCAAAGTGAGATGCAAGGAGCTAGAGTAAAAGTATTGACTTGAAATGAAAATATTGGGAATTTTCTTTATTTAAAATAGGCTTTCAAATGATTCTCTGATTACATAAATGAGGGTTATTGATGAGATAAATGATTTGCATTACATATTCACTGATGGAGTAAATGTTTGTATGGATTTATATTGTCCTTAAGAAACAGCAAAACTCCAGGCTAATTGTGAAGTGAGCAGAGAAGAGGGTTCTTCTATGCATGTCTCAAATGTGAAATGTAAGTTGATGTTGGCATCGCTATGCATACAGGACAGCATTTCTAACACACAAGCCTGTTTTCAGAGAAATTTTCTTCCAACGCTGCTTTTACCTCTGGATTGAGGGAGGTCTTTGAAATTAGTGATATTTAAAATAGCAAATTATTAAAATTCTCAATGTTTTTTCTAAATAAGTTAAATTATAGAATTACTTTAGCCTTCATTTTCCTTTTTTTCCTTATTTATACCTCCGTGAACATAAATTTAAGATTTTTCTGAGCTTTTATACTGCTGTTCTTTAATGAGGTTACTGAAATAGGTTGTCCACATGGCAGCTTTATTTCCAAGTAAATTAGAAGTGCTTGACTCCTTTTTTTTTTTCTTATTTTTCCTCGCTTCCCCCCTCCTCCCCCTCCTTGAAGCCTAACATAGATCTATGCTCTTATGGTAAAAGCTATTATACTGAAGTCTGTGTAGTATGTGATTGGTTTTGAAGAGAGGAGGGTAACAGTCTGGTTCCATATGATGAAGCATATGAAGCACTCCCAGATCTCTTACCTTAGTCTTCCTGTTGTGAACATGGTTCTTGAAAACTTACATCATGGTTTCTGAACCTGTATTCAAAAATGTCGTCTTTGGTGCTTCGTGGAAGTTCCCTGCTGTAATACTGGGGCCTTGTCCAAAGTCTCTCAAAGACTTTCTGTGTATCTATATTTCAGCATTAATGTGCTGGTTTTTATGACTGGAGAAAATAAATGAAAAATTCTATCCCTCTTTCAGAGGAAAGCTAATAACAATAGCAAAGAGAAGCAGTTCTAAACACCTGGTCAGAACAAAAGTCCTCTGGGGAGATCCCTAATTGAGAGCAGCCTCTTCTATTTTTGTGATCTCCCTTGCTGCCTCCTATTTCTTGCTATAAACAGTTTAGTTCTCTCTAGTTAAAAAAAGGGACGGGAGGCTGGGGGGGAATCTGTGAAGCATTTTGCCAGTACCACATCTGTTCAAATCCTGGATCCAGAAACTGTTCTGAAATTCATGAACAGCAGTGGCATTGAAAAATCATTACTGTTACAACAGGGAAAAAAAAATTGAAAATGTCATTCTTGGAGAGTTCTTGCCCATTACTTTTAATTTTTAGTTGACTTCAACATTGAGAGAATAGATGTGAAGATTGTGATTACCTTGACATGGACCTATGAAAACCAGGATTCTATTTTATCCTCGTGTAGATCACTTGCTCATAAAGCAGTGCTAGTTTCATGCTTTGGAGTCCATGGTAAACATATGTGAAATGTTCCAAAGCTCAAATAAGTGTTAATGACTGCGGGAGGGTGTGAGGGCTCTCGGGTTTGGGCATGGGCTCAAAGCAAGCAAATTCTGTCTTTCGAGTTCTGAGAATTACACTGTTAAAACAGTCAGCTAAATACAGCAAAAGAATCTCTAACTTCCCACTAAGAAACAAATTTCCGGATAGCTTCAGATAATGAAACTTAGTTCTTGACAGCCTTATATTTTCCCTTGTTTTGTATGGTCTTCATGACACACAAATACAATAATACAGACCTTGAGAGAAGTACATTGATAGCAGATTCTCATAAAAAATGTATGATGAAGTGATTTCCCTCCTCTATTAGTAAAATCTGGTGATTTTGAATAACAGATGTCAAATTGTCAAAGGCCACATGTGATCTGATGAAGTACTGAGGCCCTGTTAAAAGTGAAACAAAACTGGAAGGTCTGCATGTAGCATTGCAGCTGAAGTAGTATCTTTCCACCTTTCATGCACAGTACCCGCATAGGAGGAAGGTGTGTGTAAAGTTGGTGGAAAGTTGCATCCTGTTTGTTACCGGCTGTCATCTGTTGCAGGAGATGTATTTTTCACCAGTTTCAGCAGTGTACTCTGTTATGGTATCTAGTGTTCAGTGAGCCTGGTTCAGTCCAATTCCACAATCAGCAGAACTATTATGCACAGTGTTTCAACTTCAGCTGTTACTGTAGTACAGAATGAGTTCATTGATTAAAAAGCAAGTTTATTTTGCATGTCTCTGAATCAGATGCCACTTGACATCATCAGACTTTTAAATAAGAGAATTCTTCTTTTAAGTATCTCCTTTACAAAACCCCCCAACAACTCCAGCAGCATCAAGTGGGAGATTTTAATGACCCATGTGTTCTGTCACAATTAGTGGATTTGACAAGAAGTAAATTTTCATTTGGGGAATTCTTCCACCTGAATCTTCAAACAGACGCTAATGGGCTTGGAACTAGAGAGGAAAGCATTTTTAGGTCAGTGATTTTTTAGCAGTGGTAATAGAAGATTTACAGTCTTGATACATCAGCCCCAACAGTACAACTCTTGTATCCAAAGACAGGGTTTCAATAAAGTGCTATCACTTATTAATAAATTAGTTGGAGTGCAACCACTGATGTATGGAATTTTGAATATGCTTCACTGGATTGGAATAGCGGCCATGTCAGCATCCATCTGATTAGTATGGACCCGTCACAACACAGAACCCTACTGTGACAAGGCTCATTAAGTGCTTTCAGTTAAAGAGAGTCCCTTTAGGAGAGGATTTGTCTTCAAAGTTATTTCCAAATATCATTTTGATCCTTCGCAAATTGTTTTTGCTCTCTGTATCTGGTTGTTGCTTTGGGCTGGGCGCAGGAGATGGAGGTCTGAGACCCACTGATCAAGTTCTGTTCATACTTTTTAAAAACCATAGTTGTGTTGTTAACATCGCTGTATTGTAATTGAGTTTTGGCATAATTTCCTAGAGAGAAGGGAGTGCTGTAAGTGATAGATTTTGAACATGACTGAAAAAGAGAATTGGATAATCTCAAGTTCGTATATGTTTTATGAAAACAAATGGCTAGGTGATTGAAAACAAACCAGTGATTTGAGAGAGGAGCCCCAGTGTGAGCACGCCGTGCTGTTGAACAGTGCAGAATCTGTAGCAGAGTCGGAAGAAGGAAGGCTCCCATTCATTTTGTGAGCCATGGTATTGATAATTTCCTTACTCAGAATTTTGAGTTGACAGGTGGTACATCTTCGCTTGAGCAGTCTTGGAAGGAGAATGTTTTTGTGATGTTTGATTTAAAGCAATCTTCTTTTAAAAGAGCATTGCTTAAAACTTAGATCTTTGGGTTTAGTACAAGCACACCCATTGTGTGTTATTCAACTATTAACTTTCAACATGAATAACCATTTGCCCTTCATAAATCACAGATGACACTGAAGAGGAATTTCTGTGTTGGCTAGTTCATCCGCAGTCCCAATTGCTGCCTTATTCCTCCTAGCTATACTTGTCGTCTTTTTTTTTTTTTCTTTTAATTTAAAGTAGCTCTGGAGTCACTCATGCCAAGGTGTGCAGTATTTGTTAGTGGCACAGAACAGAAACCAGTCCGCTGCTTTCTTCAGATCTGAAATACTGACTTGAGATTTCTCCATATAGCTGGAAATTCTGCCTTATGAATCTGTAACTTTGCATTTTAGACTTTTGTGAAGATTTACTCCTGTAGTGGGAATGAACGAAATCTGTTTCATTTGTCCTGAACGTTCTCTTTCATGGTAATGAAAGAAATGCTACTTCTTAAATTTTCCTTTAGTCTTCTAATTTTTTTTTCCTCCTAAATGTTTCTCATTCCGTATCTGTGTTTGAGACCTTTGTCATACTGAATGCAAAGTTATTTTGACACATCAAGCAGTTGCCATATGTAGTCCTATCATAAAATTTGATTGAAGAAAGACCTTTTCCATCTGAATAGGTAGCAGCCCATGCAGCTTGCATTAATTTCTTCCTTTATGATATTTAGACCACTACAGTTTAAGATATATCTTAAACATTGTGAGTGTTTTCAAATTTCTAACTCTTTCGTAGAATGTATCAGGTAACCTCTGCTTGTGAGTAAAATACCAAGTGGTGCCCAGTGGAATAACAGTTCTTTCATTTCAGATTTATAGGATTTACTTTCCAATATAAGAGAAGAAGGGTTAAAGGCTGATTGTACATAGCGGACGGTAAACTCAAGGGGTGAAATGGAGAAAAGTAACTTACTTGGGTAGAAAGTGAAAGAAACATTTTAAATACATACTAAGCACATTGTACGTGCAATAGTCTTTATTATCCAATTCGTTGCATGTTAGAATAGGAAATTAAACTCTTAAATGTCATCATAGTAATATTTTTTTTTTCCAAAATGATTTGATGTCCTGTAACAAGAGAAATAAAGTATCTTCAAGACAGTTTGGGATGGGCTAGAACAGAATACTGTTAGAGCTCCTTAAAACGGATTGCTTTGTGTCACCAGTTTCGCATTAGCTAATGTTTCGACGTTTGTATTCTGGTATACTTGCATAATGAATGTAAGGTTTGTCTCCGAGGAGTATTTTTAAAGAAGTATGTAGGCGAAATGTATTGTGACAACGGTAGTTACTGAAATGGCAGAGTTTTCCTGAAAATAATAGCTAAACAAACAAAAATTTATCTGAATCTTTTGGTTATTTCTTATGTCTGAGTTTCTTCCTTTCTACACTGCTTAAAATAAAATTTGAAGTAATTTTACCAATTTTTTATTTCAGTTTCCTGCAGCCTTTGAATTCAACGAGTTATTTTTGGTCACCATTCTGGATCACCTTTACAGTTGTCTCTTTGGGACTTTCTTATGCAACTGTGAAAAAGAGAGATTAAAAGAGGTAAATAATTAGTGTAACACGCGTTCTTAATTTGTTGATTTTATATGAAAATGCTCTAGAATACCAGGCCTAAAAACATCTGAGCTGTGTTTTTGGATACATGTGTCACATAGTCTTAAAACACAGCACGGACATGAGGTTTCATGGTATGAGAAATGTATACTGAATGCCCTGCTGTTAAACAAGACGGCACTTATTTTTCTTTAGTTATTATCTGTTCGGGGGTTGAGGGTTTTAGAAAATCCTCTTTCAGATATTTCTAGCCAACAGACACAATTTAAAATAATAATTATCAAATTGTATTAGCATTTCTTTCGTTATTTCCAAAGGATGGATGACTTTGCAGGTCACTTTAGGACATAATTAGTTGGAACTTATGGTTGAAACCTACAGAAGTTTAAAATGTCTAAATGAATGAAGTTAGGACTCGATGAAATACTTTGAGTGGAAAAAGAATTTTAAGAAGTTTGTTAATATTCCAAATACCCTTTTGCTTACATGTGGCTTTATTGGTTTTAATCCTTCATATTTTTTAAAGCAAGTAACAATTCCTTGCCATATTTAGCTTTGCTAATTTTTTTTGATTTGTCTCTACTGCTTCCATAGGGAAAAAGTTGCATCTAAATACCACAAGATGGAGCTGAATAACATGTTCTTAGCAAATGCAGGGTTTCCAGACAGCTTGCTTTCATAAATGAATAGTCAGATGCAATTCTCAATAAAGAAATGCAATTTAAGACACAGCGGTAGTAGAAACACATGCTTTACAACACTGAAGGAGTGTAAAATTGCACGATGAATCTGATGTAAGTTCAGATTTCCATCTTTGATCTAACCATGATTATGCTGATTTAGAATAATACAACTTTCAGAAGTGCAAATAAAGATAAAATAGGCATTTTAAAGCATAGTATCAAGCAAATAGTGGGAGTGGGAGAATTGAATAATTATTTTTCACAGATGCTGTTTCAGATCTTCCAAACTACATATCTCTTCACTGATTTTCTTGTCAAAGCTAATTTAATTTTATTTTTGTTTTAGTTGGTCAGTATGTAACCATATATTTAAGTAGCTGTAAACATTTCTGTACATTACAAGCAGTACAGCTTTCTTTTTCTCAGCTAGACCTTAGCATCTCTGAAAATAATATGCCTGAATCTGCTTTCTCAGTTAGCCTTGGACCAGAATAAGCGTTCAGATGCTTTACTGAAGTTTTAAGGCTGTTTAATGATCAGCCACAGGAAGTGTTCTTAGAGTGCTTGCAATTTTCTAGTAGATAAGGTAAATTTCATAGACAAAAGTAGTGATGTGTAGATATTAACCTCGTATTTTAAGGTTTTGCAATCCATACAATTAATTTTTTTTTTCCGATCAGGAGGTAAGCACAAAGACTGTATCGCTGTGGTCCTATATAAACAGCCAGTTAGATGAGTTCACAAATCCTTTCTACGTAAACTATGAAAACCACGTCCTGTATCCTGTTGCCAGTCTGAACCATTTGGAACTATGGGTGAACTACTACGTCAGGTGGAACCCAAGGATGCGGCCTCAGGTAGGAGCTTTCACATGACTTTTATGTTTTAGTGAAGAGCACAGAGATTAAAAAAAAATAGTTTTCATAGTGTCAAATGCAGCATTTAATTTTAAAAGTGCTCATCTGTTGCACGTATTTCAGCTGACAGTGAGAAAGTTGATTTTCGCAATGAAGATGCAGGGTGTGTTCGAACTTCGTAAAATGTTTTCGTTACAGTCAGTAGAGTGGGGAGTGACAGTATCACTTTACTGGCTTGTGAAAGGTAACAGATTAAGAGTCTTTATTGTCAGACGATTACTATTAGAACACTTCTATAATACTTTGTAACACTTTTTAATACTTTTATTGCCTTAACCTTCTTGTAGAGTTTAGTGTACCTTTGTTTTTAATCATATTTTGCCCTTTACCAGCAATGATATAAAACACAGCAGCAGTTTCTGAAAGAACTGGACTACGTACTGACTCATTTTGTAGGCTCTCTAAACTTAGCATCACATAGATGCTTGTTTTCAATTGACCTTTACAGTTTCAAGCTGGCATGCTAAAGATTAAACACTCCCTGTACATGCTCCTTGATTCATCCAGTATTTGTTTTTAGAAGTAATGTCTGCTCTTCAGCTAAATCTCTAAATCTCATCAGACAAATACTCCATACGCTCTCATGTTTAGAAGGCTGAAGAAAGAACATTCAGTTTATGTCACAACCGTAATATATCTGGCGGTGCTACACCATCTCTTTATTAAGGTAACATTCCAAGGTACCTCCAAGCATATTATGATAGATTACCTATATTAAGTGCCTGCTCGAAAGCTGCTTTCATCTTCTAGCAGTTAGAATGAGATGTGAGTTTTAAATTTATTAGACACCCACAAGTCAGAGGCTGTTGTAAAAGATGGTGTTCCAAGGTAAGTTTCAAGGACAGTATGCTGGTAGAAGTCCAGGCATCTGAGAAATACCTTTTAAGGTCCTGGAGAAGTCTGAATTGCTTGCTTTCTCACAGAGGTGTTTCCTCTGAGCTGCTTGTTTAGTTGTTCTGTTTTGGTTGATGTAGTCCTATGACTGTTAGATACCTGCTAGGTGCTCACATGTGTTAAAACTTGAAAGATGGTGTATTTTAATCTTTATGGTTTTAAAGTAAAATTGTTAACTGTATTTTAGCAAAATGTCATCTTTCCCTTAGTCTGTTTACTGAAAAACATTTGCATGGTTTATGCACTTTTTAGTATAATCAACCTGCAGCAGTGTCAGTCTGTTACTTGCATTTGCTTGAGATCTGTAGGCCCTGAAAGCTGGTCCCGGTCCAGAAGAGGGGAGGGTGGGGAAGAGATGACATACTGAGAGCAGACTAGAACTGTGCTTAGTGGCAGGCTCTGCTCGCTGCCTCTCTGTTGGAGAGACCTCTGCCTACTTCTGTTGGAGAGCACTCGGGCACTCCAGCATGTGTGAATCATCGGTCTGCGTTGGCCTTGGAGAACAGGTCCCTCAGATCAGCAGCTTGAAGGTTACAGAATTTGATAATCCTGGTAACTGCCTTAACGTTACTACTACCACCTTTTCTTGAAGAACTAATACAACTGTGCTGACTTTTTAGATCTACCACATTAGCTTTGTCTTGTGAAGACACATCGTGCCTTTCCTCTTGTCTCTGGCCTGAATTTATGTGATATTTGTGACAGCTATTCGGAATGTTTCACGTCTGCTTGGATAGATTTGCTGCAGAAATTACAGGTTTTTTGTTGCAGAATTGTTTTCTCCAATCTAATTATGAAAGCACAAACTCATGCAAACAAGTAAAAGTCTTGTAATCACAATATAGTGAGTTTGCTTTCTTCTATACTTCCATTGTCTAGCTTCACACCCTGTTAGCTGATTCAGTGACATTCAGACCCATTCAGTAACAGCAAAAAAGGCAGTCACCACTGCAACACCCAGCAGGTCTTCACTTCTCTTCAGTGAGAAGATTTCTTAAACAATCAGTGGATTTATTAAAAGAATGGGCATCTCCACCTCCTGAGAAAAGGTGTTTTTGCTGAATAAAATTTTAATGTGGTTCTTTTGTTTTTCAACTGGAATAAGAGAAAGTTAAATATTTAATGTCAATGAAGAGCTCTCTGATGAATAGCAATTCAAGGCAACCTCATGTATTGTTTTATCAGCTGCAAGAACTTCTTTAGGAAACTAGAAAATGTTTATTGTTTTCTAGGAGCTCACCAGAAAGGAGAAATGCCTAATTCTATGAGTTTAAGACAAGTTCAAGAATAGTCCTTTAATATAATCGGAATGGATGTTTGAGACCCTTTATCAACCATCTATGTTATGGGAGAGGAAACTTGCAAGAGCAAAAGGGCAGTTTTTGGTTTGAGGCAATACTTTAGGTTTTCTAATTTCAGCTTTATTAGTGAGGCTTGAATTTTTAAATGGACTGTGAGAAGTTAACCATTTCACTTCATTGACTTTTCTATTGGAAATGAGCATACATTACCTTTAATTTTTTTTAATTTGAAAATTACTGAATGCTAACTGGATATAAGCTTTTATTTTTGCTTTGTTGTACTCTGTCTTCAAATATCTGTCTCATCAGACTTCTAACAGTACAGTAAGGTCTGATAATATTTGTCATTGCACTAGGACGTATAGAGTTAAGAGTTATTCTCATGTTCTGTAAGGAAAGGTTGTTTATAATGATATATCTTCAGTTCTACCTAAGTTTTGTGGAAGGCTGTGAATTGGTGGTTTTGATGGCATTTATTTGCATCAAGAGCCTTGTTTTAGGATTACAGCTGTATTGCAATAGACGCTGTGCCATTAGGTGACACACAGTCCCCTTCCACAGGGCTCAAAGCTCGAGTGTCTGAGAAGTGAGCAACGTGGAAAATACTAGGTTAAATATGGACATTTCATGTACATTCCCTTTTTGCTAAACTGTGCCTCAACAAGGTCATTCTAATTCTAAAGTGGAATAAAATGTTCCTTGGTTTCAGTTTGGAGGTGTTACATCATTATTGACTTCTTGTCCCAAGAAAATTAGATAGATTTTAGTCATATCTTATCCGAGTTCATTGACTGAGCAGAGGTTTTTTTTCAGATATGCCCTTTGCTTGGGTTGGAGAAAGGTGTATTTGTATATGACATGTGGAAGACAAGCTCTTTCATGCTCATGCAGAGGTGTGTGCTCTGTGGGTACCTGCTACTGGACGTACAGATGACCCTGCTAGACTGGAATCGATAAGATTGTATGATGGTTCTGAATTCTTTCAGTTGGTATCATGTATTTCTCTTTCCTTTCCGATGTAGTCATTCAGACCTCTTCTTTACACTGGTTTGAGGAGTTCTGGCTGCCAGATGTCAGTTAGTTCAGTTAGTTATCTTGGGCAACTCTGGAAGCTGGGGAGAACACAACAAGTTATTTTCCTGAATATGACTTCTGCAGGAGCAGTATTTTTGAACTCATATACTCTTACCATTCATACATGCAGAGCATGAGTAAAAGTTCTGGCCCTTTCAACTCAAGCTGTGCCTTCCTATGTGAGAGGCAAGGAAAAGAACGTATTTTAATTACAAAATTTATATATTATATAAATATATTTATATATTATATATATTATTTATATATTTAGTTGTTTTTATGCCTTCTGGGAAATGGCATTTTAACCCTTAGAGTACAGGGCTTAAACTTGTTTTGTTTTAATTGTTTGGGGGTGGAGTTTTTTTTTTCATTTTTCTATGCCTGCTTTTTTTTCTTCAAGCTCTGGAAATTTGGCTACTGTGCTAGAGGTAATATGATAGGAATCCCTAGAAGTTTTTTCAAATTCATTCTTTGCTTTGTATGTGTGGACTTTCATCCAGAATATAAGGCTTTCACCATCTATAACCTAGAAGTTCAGCTCAGCTACTGGAATGGGCTAAAGGCAGCCTTTGGAGATTCCATGAAAAGCCAGGGACAGTCTGTTCATAGGTTAAGAGCTGGCTTAAAAAAAAAAAAGGAAAAAGTAGGAATACAGTTTGTTCAGTATATACAGAAATGATCTGGAAAGCTTATAAATAGGTTACAATGATTGCTTCTTCTTTTGAATGCTGTGTATAGAATTGTAGTAGGATTTGATGTGTTGAACAGTTGAGTGATTAGATGCCAGCTGAACTTCAGTGTCAATAAACACAAAATATTGCACATTTAAAAGAGCAAATAAGTTGCTGAGTGTTGCTGGAAAACTCGTTGAGAATAAACTGGAAAACATAATTACTGGGATGCTTTATCTTGCACATAATAGGATAGGACTTACTGTCTGGCACATGGGGTGTTCGTATTATTTATGCCTGCCTTCAGTCAAGTTGCCCTGTATTTGCCTCGGAGCATGTTGACATTGGTTGTCATATTTTCAAAGTTCATACACATGATTTAACACCACGTTGTGGCAGGACAAAGCTGTCATATGGCTGTGGAAATGTTTGGCATTACTGGTCCGCAATCCATGGTCTTGAGTCCATCTTCTTGCTTGAAAGAATGAGGCAGGAGATGTCAGGAGAAGAAACTGCCTTGTGAGTTGGGTAGCTGGGGGTTGCTCTAGCTAAGGAGATTTCATCCCTGCATCTACCACAGCGTCTCTTGTGAGACAAGGCAGGTTGCTCACAATACCTGATAGTTTCTCTCCGTCTGGGTGTCTCAGTCGAGATTTCCAGAGTCTGATTTACTGCAGGTAGCTTACATCTGCAGATAAAACTCTCAGCATTCAACTGGTGTGGAATAAAATAAAGTCTAAGTGTGCTTAAAGAATATATAGTTGTCTAAAAAAAAAAAAAAAAAAAGGAATGGTATTCTGTAATGAGCACAGCATCAGAACATGCACAGGACGGGAGAAACTAGTGCTGTACAAATAATCTTCCGTCTTTGGGAGTTTCTAACATATTTTGAAGAGCAAGCGCTCAAAGCATTGCCCTAACCTGTCAGATGTCTAAATCTAAACGGGCTGTAGGCTTTACCAAGCAATGGCATCAGCTTGTGGCCTGTTGAGTTTCCCGA